AAAAACAAAAAAAAAAAAAAAAAAAAAAAAAAAAAAAAAAAAAAAAAAAAAAAAAAAAAAAAAAAAAAAAAAAAAAATCGGAAATACCCATCTCTACATATAATAGATAATAAAACAAATATCACTCGTACATACTGCGATTTAACTCTGTAATGCTAATTATAAAGTACAGTATCAAACTATAAGGTATTAAACTTAAAATAACCAACACAAAATATGGACACTGTATTCGAGCACTATTACAAAAACTTTATTAATTAAATATACTGTATAGATAAAAAATTTTATAATTTTAAACATCTAAATAGAATTTATACGAAGAATTTTACTAATGAACTAAAAATCACAGATAAAATAATAAAGTAAATAAACTCTGGTTTACGTTACTGGTTCTAGCGCGCGCAGCTACCTAGTTAATAAATTCAAACTATCAGCGAAGCTACAGTGCACACAGTTTATATGTGCTTAGGTTATATTTAGGTAACATATTATAAAATAATATTTGTCGATGGCTTCATTAGACTTACAGTATTTACCGTTGGATTGTCAATTCACAACCTTGCCAATAATTGCGCCGCGTAAATTTTGGTTTGAAAAATTCTGGTGATCCTATTCTCGATTGTGTTACCCTGAGAGACAGTTATAAATATTAAGAAATATCTTCATCCACTAACAAATATTTATTACTCTTCGTCGTATTCGTCATCCGAATCATATGCAGCATAATGTTTACAAGTCGGCGCATGATAATGATTACCACGATTGCGGATTTTTTCATAGTCACTAAGACATCTAAATAAATAAAAAAGTTTCTTTAAGTAAAAAAAGTTATTTAGAGGACAAAAAAAGACAAATACTTACGACCAACAAAATTCATATCCACAACGACAGGTCATGTGGTCGCATCCATTATTTTTCTCAATGGGTTTTTTGCATCGCGGGCATGATTTTGTATGAAGTTCAAAATAGGCACGATTTGCATCATTTTCTTCTTGATTCTTTAATCGCAACTGCTCAGTAAATTCTTCGCAGGTTAAACCATCATGCCAAGGAACGTCATGAGTGAAACATGATTTTTGGCCACAAGCTTTGCAAGTAATAATAGGCATTATATCTAAAGTTTATAATAATGATAATGAGATAAATAAATAAAAAAAAAAAGGGAAACGGAGAAAGGAATGGAGAGGGAAGAGGAGGAAAAAGTATACCTCCTGTTGTATGTTCTTGTGCAAAGTCACAATCTGGGGCCTTACACCAACGAAGATTGGAAATGCCACGAATTTCAGCGCGCAATAATAGATTATCATATCTTATTTTATTCCGTGAATAATAGTTAATATTAAGTTATATTTAATAATTTTATGGGATAAAAAACTAAAAAATTGTATCACCTATCAAATAACTCTTTTGATGTTAATCTTTTCAAATCATTGTAAGTTAACTCATACGTGCAGTGCGGTTTTGGACAACGCACTTTAACATCTTCTTTATTGTTCATCTCTGTTTCGATATGCCGTTTGATACAACGAGGACAAAGGTCATCGTGGCCACAGACAGGTGAAATTTGTTGAATTAATGTATATTCCTCACAACAAACACTGCATTCCGGCACGCACGAACTACATACACGTTGTAAAATATTTTTTACAACCTTTTTTCCGGGTCGGTTGACGACTTGCTCAGGTGGCATTGTGACCCGTGCTTTGGAACACCAGCGACAAACTACTTGGCCGCATCGCCTAATTTTTTTATTTTTTTTTATTTTTCAAATAAAATTTTTATACATTTAAAAAACTGATAGGGTATTTAGTGCAAACCTGCAATGGTGCCTTCTAATAAATGTACTAAACTTCTTTCGGCACCTGCGACATTTATCTACATCTTCATCTCTTTCCCATTTAACTATTATATATAATTTGAAGAATTAAATTAGTGTTAGTTATGTATCAGTATTCAATCTCTAGCCGAAAAGATCATTTAATTCTACAGATAACAAAAAGATCTGTAGAAGAGATTCAAAAATTTACATTCACAAGTACAACTACCGGGAGAGCATTCACAATTATTACTGTAAATATATCTGGTGCACATTTTTAAAAATTTCTAATTGTTTTTTTTTTTTTTTCTATAAAAATTCTGGTTCGTATAATGAAAAAATTTAAAAAGCTCATATAGTGATTACTATAATTTAATACATACAGAACTTATAAAAAAAATTCGGAGTTGGTATTTATATAATCTGTAAGTACGTAGATAATATTCTTTGTCTCTGTCACGCAAATACCAATTTAGCTCATGGCGTAAAATAATGTATCGTATAGAAATCCGATATATACCTTTATATACCTTTTATATTGGCTAACGAAGTTCATAATTGATATCGATATTTACATTTTTCTTTTACTAGTAATTTTTATAGTCTATTTCATTGATGAATCTCCCAAATCGGATTGAACCAAGCTAATTTTGAGTTGAACCTGTGACCATTCCGAAATTTTTATATCCAGAAAATCTGCTGTGAAAGAATGTTCGCAGAATCCTGATTTTGGCGCAGTTCTGTCTCCACAAAATTTTCTACGCAGTACTTTTTTGTTTTGATTTCGATAAACTATAAATTTGACTTTTTTCTAATTTTGTTTTAAAGTATTATTTATACGTTACCACAAAATCTGCACTAGTGTTAAATTTCTTAACGTAATAGCAATTTATGTCAAATATCAAAATGACACATGATAATTTAAAATTGTACTGTATGTTAAATAATGATAAATTAGCATTAGTATAGTGATACCGATACATAACAAAAAATTTTGATATAAATTACGTTTCGTTTTACTAATCGTAGGATGCGTTGTTTTGATGTTATTTTGGGAGTAACTTAATTTTAAATTCAGTAGGATCTATTCTAGCCTCTGGCTGCACAATTAGTAACTGTGGAATAAAAATCAGTTATTCCACGTATTTGTCGTCGATATCATCAGCCTTCGATATCATGCATGATTGCGGCAGTATTGCGGCTGCGCCGCAAACATGTATAATATCTCGCTGCCTATGATATTTTATGATATATATGGAGTGTCGTCAACTAAAAGGGCTCATTTTTACATTTTTTTAAAAAAATGAGTTTTTATTAAATTAAGGTATATTTTGACATGATTGACATTTTTCATAGAAGAAAAATTACACGAGGCCATCAATCCTCAAAATGAGATATATGTAAAAATAGGCTTAGTTGATGATACTCCATATGATAAAATGTAAAATAACTATTTCATTTTCCACGAAGCGAAGGAAATAATAGTATTTAATTTATTTTTTTTTTTTTTTATTTTTTTTTTTCAGCAATCATGCTAATACTTTATTTAATCAAATTTTTTGTCTATGACTAAAAACTCTATCTAGTATGTTCTACTATCTAGTGATTAATTCTAAGTATTAACTCACTCAGTTACTACTTTAGTATCTAAATACGATCTGCTATAGTGACCTTTAACCTTTGTATCTTTGGTCTCGTTTTATGAATACCTAAAAGTACTTCAAAGGAAGGACACCACAGCCTATCATATTTGCATCTTATATCTATACATTTTTAAACCCTTCTAAAATTTCTTTTAATATACTGTCCTTTGCTAATTTAAACTTTAAACTAATTTCTCTCATATTTTCATTTATTTTTTCTACACTATCTGAGTTTGTAGCTGCATTGTCTACTTTGTACATCTTAATTTGTTTTCCTTTTGTTTTTCTTTTTACCACATTTGCTTTTTTCTGAGCCTTTTTTTCTTTTTGTAATATTCTTTCTCAATTCTCTTAAATGTTTATCTCATTACATCATATAAACCAGACTTCTTTATAAATCTGCTCAATCCATGTATTCCAAAATATACACCAAAACCTTAAAGCTAACTTTTCTGTACTTATTATCTCTTTTACTTTCAATGCATCACTTTTATTTAGGATCCCTCATAGCTATTCAGTATTTTGTATTTACTTTTCTTCATTAGAAGTCTTTTGAATAGCTTGCTTTATTTTTCAAAGATTCTATCTTTCTTCTTTTTTTTTGTTACTTTGTATCTTTTTCTAAACTTCCTCATTTATTCTTATGAATACTTCCTGTGTTTCATCATACCAGATAATATGTTCATTTGACTTTGGTTCTTTGAAACATCTTTTGCATATATTGTCCTTATATAAATATAGCTTTCAGATATTTAATAATCTGACAGTTGGAAGTAGGTTTTCGATATATTTAACTTTAAAGGTACGTATGTGATTTGCCTTTGAAGTTGTTTCTTCTTGTCTATAACAACTCCTCAGTAGGCTTTTGAAAGCTTTCTAGTTCTGAGACTTTATATGATGTTGATGCTATTTGTCCTTTTTTTTCCTTATTCAGGTCTATTTAGCCTTATATGTTGTTTGAACTATTGTTTTGATGAAGGTTCTAAGTGGTATATCAAGTTTACAATCCTCCCATTCTGAAAGAAACTTTATATTCTTAATGCTAATATTATTAATCTCAAGTAATAGTTTTCCTTTTGCACTTTTTTTTACAAGCTAATCTGCTATATTATTGTTTGTGTTTCTTGAATATACTTTAATCTTCTGCATCTTAATTTGCAACTTTTTACTCTTGTAAACTTTAACTATTGCTCATAGGATACTGTTGTTTTTGAACTTTAGCCACTGTCTTGTACTTTCATTTTTAAGGCTTTTTGATATTGCTGCTATTGCATATAGGCTATCTGTACAAATTTCTACTATACTATTATTTGGTACAATTAAAACTGCTATCAGACATGCTGCCAACTCAGCTCGTATAGATGAGAACTATTTTTCTATTTTACTCTTATGACTATATACTATTCTATTCTGCTCATCTATTTGTACTACACTATATCCTATTTTTTGTTAAAAATCCTCCTTTTGCAATAACTTGTCTGTATATACTACTATTTTTCTCCTTTCTATATTCTTTATGAGGCTTTCCTTTAACTCCATCTGTATATCTTTATCCCTAATAAGCTAGTTTATTAATTTTGCTTCCCAGCTATTTTCAATCTGCACTCTCTCTCAATTTCTAAGTTTGTTAATTATGTTGTCCTTTGCTACTATCTTTTTTAAGTTATCTACCTTTAGCAAAACTACTTTATTTGCTACTATGTAAGGTGTATTTTCTTTCTTCCTTACTAAGTTTGAGATATCTTGTAGCTCTTTTAACTTTATTCATTTTATACTCTTCTCTTTTAACTTTATCTTAAACTCTTCATTGTAACTATTTTCTTGCCACCTTTTATTTTTTTTATCCTCTTCTCATAGTTCTACTTCAGCTATTTTTTTGCTCTTTTTGTGATTCGTCCAATTTCTTTTTTGTTTTTAGTATTCGTCTCCAAAAGTATCCACTCTCTTTTTCTTCTATTACTTAATACTTCCTTTTTTCCTTGCTCTATTTGCAATTTGTACTCACTTTTAAACTTCTCTTTAATTTCTCTTGTAACTATGTTTTCGATTACTTCTGCTTTGAGAAAAGCAAACTACTTTGCTTTTTTTCTAACATGTTTTTTTCCTCTTAATACTTTGAGCTACCTCTATGTAATCATGTACTTCTTTTTAGAATCTAGTAGTTGATTTAAGTGCCATATATTTAATCTACTAGCCTTGCTAATATTCTTTTCTAGATTGCTTTTAAGAGTATATTTTGAATTAGCAAATCTTTTCTTTCGCATAGCTTAATCATATGCCAGCACTCTGTATCTATATTTTTGGAGACTGTGAAGCCAAGTTTTTTAGCTATCTATAAAACTTTAGCTCTGAGATTCCTGCTGATTATATTTTTTGATTTACTGCTTTTTGATATTAAAATACATTCTGCTGAGTTTGTATTTAACTAATATTACTTTAGGCATATAATTGTTATGTCTCCTAGTAAACTACTTAAATTCATTCATACAAAAAGTTCTGATATATAGTACTCTATGTGCTTTTGCTATAAGCTCATAACTTTGAATATTTTATTATATAAGACTGTTGCATTTGCACATGTGATTGGCAGCTCTGCTTTTTGCTTCAATAGTTTTATGAATAGTTGGTGTATTTTATCATATTTCTTTTTATCGATTATTATATTCAATAGTATATATTCTAATTTTGGTAACAAAACTATATTGTTTATATATACAATCTGATTAATTGATAATTTTTTCATTCTTAGCATGTTTGTTAAATGGCTAACAACTTTTTTGCATCGACTTCTGCTTGCCTTTTCTTGTCTCTTAAGGTTTATTCAAATACCAAAAAACCTTTTGCTTTCTTTTGCTTTTTTGGTTTCAATGAACTCAAGAAGCATTCCTATCTAAATTCCTTCTGTTACTTTTGCTTTCTTGTTTGGCTTCTATATAATTAGCTCAGACTTTGCGCTATTAATTTCTATATCATTGAGCTCAAAGAATTCATTTGAGATATTTATAATGCTTTGCAGTGAATCTTTTGAGTTTATCACCCATGTAGTATTATCTGTATAGGCTAATGCTGCAACTTCGATTTTCTTATCTCTCATAATATTTCTGCTTATATTTGATAGCTATTTAAGATGTATTTCGTAGCTAAGTCTTGCCTGTTGTATGCATACTAACAATAGATCATAAAAAATTCTCTATATTAGAAGTAATATTACTTCATCCTAATCAATTCCAT